TTGTTTGTTTTTATTGCTGGCAGAAACAAGCTTCCATACATAACTGTCCAATACATAATTTGAATACAATTTTAAAGTATCATCTTACAAAAATATGAATGTTGCATTTCAATCTGATTAACGCACATATTGGATTATGAAGAGATTAGAACCTTTTAGTTCCAGTTTTATGTGAAAAGATATGGTTCTGAGATTATGTTGGAAGATTCATGCTAATCTGTGTTGGCAAACAAACAACTTTCAAAAATAAAGTATATATCAGGCCCGTTTAGTATGAATTACCCAATAATAGGCATTGAGTAGTTGGAAGGTATGTTCTAAAAACTGATATTAGGGTTGAAATTATATTAATATTAATAATATTAGGTGCTGTAATGTTCTTTTGTCAACCACTATGGAGTTTTCCAAAGTAATTAATAAACAAATGTACCTATTTTTGGTATGAAATAAGTGTGCAAGACCTGCGTTGTATGTACGTCCAAGTTAAACTCTAGGAGTCGACCGTGCGAAAGATCCAAAAACGGCTCCTTAGGAGGACAAAATATGTGCCAACTGTTTAAAGGTTGTCCTGCCAAAGTTCAGTCATTTTCCTCAGAATGACTCTATATTTATATTATCTCCCGTGTTCATCGATTTGTGCCTGTGATGTTTGTCTGTAAATAAAGTACAACAAAATAGAGCACTGGCTGGAGATTTTATAATATCAGAACTTTTTTCCTTATTCTGTTTATTCTCTCTTCCATTTTAGGTGTGAATGAAGTAAGTTTTGTTTTTTTACTCTCAGTGTGTTGTAACTGATGTGGGGAAACAATGTCTGCATGAATGCTAATAATTCAAATCAGTTATATGGGGGGAAATGCCGTCTCATGGTCATACTTACAAAACTCATTTTAATGTTGTCTTACATCCTGTTGCTTTGCTAATTTTTATTTTGCATCTGCTTGTCATGACCCTTACAGTCAACGTGTATTTGTAAAATTACTGCCGGCTGCATGTCCTGATTTGCATGCTTCATGTTGTATCTTTTTTTCCTTTTTTTTAAGGAATAGTTCACCCAAAAATGAAAATTTGCTGAAAATGTTCTCTCAGTCCGGCCATCCAAGATGTAGATGAGTTTGTTTCTTCATCGGAAAAGAT